TCGCAGCTAGGTAGGACAGTAATTCTTCAAACAAGTGCACCTAAGATAAATGAATGGATTAAACAAAAGGTAGGGTGCTTTAGATCAGTCAAATAAACAGGACAAGTGCTCAGCTCTAGCTATAAGGCTTAGTCCTCTGGTATCTAGGATTTTTATTGTATCCTTATTCTATTTTTGATTTCTTGATCAGGTGTAGGAGATTTCTGCGCAAAATTTATTCAAGTAGTTGGTATTTAATCAATAGCAGTAACGCAGAAAATTGTTTAAAAAAAATTATATGTAAATTGTCTCAGCCAGCAAAGACGTGGCAACCTGAAACTTGAAAATGAGATAGTACTGAGATCACAAACGTAGTCTGTGGCCGTATGGCATTTGGCTCCTTAAGTTAGTTTTTCTCAGGTTTTATATTCAGAATCTGTTGGGATCTGAAACTTTAAGACATACTCTGACATCTTACTTCAGAAGAGCTGTACCGATTGAAAGTCTCTAACCCCAAACTCCTAGTGTTTGTAACTAGGACGCAGGGTCATATGTACGTGAGATGAAACAGTTCCAAATTCTGTGAATGAGGAACAAGCAGGAATTTTCATTAGTTTGTTTTGCTGTATTCTGCCTTTCTGCACTGTAACTTAATGTTCTCTAAAATACATTTCTAGAGGGCAGAAGTTTCAGTTAACCAGTCTGGAAAAACAGAATTTTATTGCAAAGCAATGATACGTGAGCAGCATGACACCGCAAAGCAAAGTGACAAATGACTCGCTATGGCAGGGCCACGGGACTGAGTGTCTTACGCAGTCTGTGTCATAATCCCCGTCTAGTTCCTAGTCAAGGGCATCATCACACAATCCATCTTGATGTCTGTCATACAGTGCAGGTCACTCCCTACATCCCTTGAGGCAGCAAGGCTAGGCTATGAAGCATGTCTTGTGATTTCCAATTCAAGTGCAGCTCTGAGTAGTAATGGTTCAAAGTGGTTCTCAGGTGTTGGCTACATCAAAGATTTCTACCAGGAACTGACCTGTCTTGAAGCCTTTTCCCAAAGCACAAACTGTAGGACAAGAAAGGGGCGCATGGGGAGAGGTGGTGGGGAACCTCATTCCTTTTAGAAACCATAGTTTCGGACAAGGTGGGTACCAAACCATCCACACACAAATACAACGTATGTTACAGAATCTGACTCTAGTTTGACCCATAGTACAGGCTATGGCAAGGAACGCTTCTCAGTTAACCGGGACAGAATTACCTCCGATGTTGGCAGTGTCACTAGTGAGGCCAAGGAAGAGCAAACTGAAATGGGCACCGTTGGCTTGTAGCTTCCTACGCTGCCTGTTCTGTAAATAAACCTGGACTGTCCACGTGCCTGTCAATCCAGCACCCATCCCTGGCCTTACTCAGAGTACTACCCTGCCAACAGCGATCGCAAAAAACTATCCTCAACTTCACGTCTTGTTTTATTTTTGGAAACAGATGGCAAATCTGAACACGGGCCTTCTCTCTACGTACCTGCACGTCCTGGCAGGGCAGAAGCCACTTTGCAGCATGAAAAGAGAAGAGGCCCAAGTTGTCCAATGTCCCCCGACAAGTTCCTCTTAACTGTCAGCATGCTGCAGAACGCCTGCAGGTCAGCCCTAGCCAGCTCCGGTATTAAGCACGCTGCGAAAGTCAGGGAAGCATGGGAACCTCCATGGGAACATCAGCCACGCCGCCCCAAAAAGGTGCAAATACACAAAACCTCTCTTCAACGCAAAAAAGATCAGGCAGCCCAGCTCCAACATGTGAGATTGCACAGTGATTCTCTGACTATGAAAAGAATTTCTATACCCTTTGAAACCAAAATGCTGCAGCTCAAGCTCAAAAACTCTTTGCATGGACCTGCTGTGAAATCCTCCATCCCTGCTCCTTCTGTTGTACGTCCCAAGACTTGTTGTGGTTTGCTGCGAGAAAAGCAAGCTCACAGTGGTCATGGTA